AAACTTTTTTCATCTTTTTCAAAAGGGGGTTTTTGTTTTTTCCCCCGCGGGGGGGGGGGGGGCAGAAGCAGAGAGAGGAGAGGGTGCGGGACATATGGCCTGCCCGCACGCGCTGGGTTCAAGGGTCTTCGCACCTTCCCTGTTACTATCTTAGCTTTCTCTGACAAACTGCGTGATCACGCCAAACACTCGGAAAAGAGACAGTCATTCTAACGACAACGGCCTACTGGTTAAATGTACTCCAAAAAAATCTCTTTTCCCTTTTTTGTGTTGAGACCAAGGAGTTTAGAACTAATAGAGCCTCCTCTCTCTCTTCGCGGCGCCACGAGCAGCACGCCGCGGTGGGGATCAAATATGGCCGCCGAGTGTGGGCTAAATCACGAACTGTGGCGGTTCTTTTTATAGAATCTTATCGGGCTGGGCCACGTTGTGGGGGTGGGCGGGGTGGGGGAATGCACGCAAGGAAGAGGGGATGGAGCAGGGATGAAAGAGGAGGGGCGGGCCTTGGGAAGGGACGAAGGAGAATGGGGAAAATTAAATAAGAGAGAGAGAGAGAGAGAGAGAGAGAGAGAGAGAGAGAGAGAGAGAGAGAGAGAGAGAGAGAGAGAGAGAGAGACAGACAGACAGACAGACAGACAGACAGACAGACAGACAGACAGACAGACAGACAGACAGACAGACAGACAGACGGACAGACAGACAGAGAGAAGAGAGAGAAAGAGAGAGAGAGAGATTGTGATCAACTGACGGGCTGACGGATAATGACAGGGAGAAAAAAAGATTATGTGTGTGATACGGACTATTCAATTCTTTAAGAGTTTTATGTTATAATCTAGTTTAAAAATCAGAAAGATTTGTAAAATAAGAAGAAAACGTGTCCAAGTAACATAAAATTATCAAACATACCAAGTTATAAAGATAATCTTTCAAGATGCCAAAATATTTAATTATTAGAAATGGATAAAAATATACTGTAAAACTGAATTTAAGATATTATGATTGCATGATTCTAGGCGTGTGCCATAACTAACTTTATGTGTAAGGAATAGCGAACACAACAGAGGGTCGATGCCAGCTTTATCTGATTGCTAACAATATGTCTTGGTCTATAAATAATAACATTATTAATTACAATAATTTTGTTTCCTGGTTTTCACAAAGTAGAGGGCACAATGATTTCAAATATTCTTTAAAAAGAGATAACAGCACCTTTTGAGGTGTGATCGCATGCATGAGCGTGGATGACCTTTGAAAGTTATCTTCTTTTTCTTTTTTTTGTTTAGTAAAGTATGATATGGAGAGCAGCGTTTTTAGTCCCTTATTACACTCCGGGGGGGGGGGGGATAATTTATCTCAGTGATGACTCTTGTGTATTAAAATTTGATGTTGCTTTGTTTGGTGGGTTTTTTTAACAGCAGAATCTTAAGTGAACCGGAATTATTGATTGTGGGATCTTAGGTGAAGACTGCAACAATAGAATTAAACCGAGTATAGTTCTATATAACAAGACTCAAACTCTTATCCACCCCATCCAACCTTCTCCCCTCATCTGATATGGTTTGGTGTTTCTTTAACATAGAAAATATTCATCATTATTGTTGTTGAGTATTGATTTCATATTCTAATGGAGCCTCCACATATCTACATTTAGACAACAGTAGCACACACAATGGAAAACAATAGAAATGTATAATATGTATATACATACACACACATAATAATTTTTATTTATATATATATCTATCTATCTATCTATCTATCTATCTATCTATAGAGAGAGAGAGAGAGAGAGAGAGAGAGAGAGAGAGAGAGAGAGAGAGAGAGAGAGAAGAATAAGAATACTTTTAAAAAATTGAGTATCTCGGTCTTTCTGCTGGGATGTTGTATCCCTTTCAGCCTGGGTTGGCCTTGGCATAAAGCGCCGGAGCCATCCTCTTATGAATGTTAATGATCTAAATTGTGTTGCTGGGGGCATAAAAACACTTTCATTCAAATAAATTTTTTTTAAGGAAAACAACTTAACTGTGAAAACTTCGGTGCACTGCAGCATCATACCGGTTCTTACACTTAAATACAACACATATGCAAGGCATTTTTACTAATTGACTTGCCTAATCTCAAGGACCTCGGAATAAAACCTTCTTTCTTATCTAGTTTTCAGTGCGTGAGTCGGGGATTCGCGCAGCGCAGGTAGACCACAGTTCCGACGCGAGAGAGGGCTCCTATCAGGCGTTCGGTGCCGCCCACAGAGCATCCTCCATTACTTTTAATCTCCTTGGTTCAGACCAAAAAGTAACAACAACGGCCGAGAGTTGGTCTAGCTAACGCAGTTTGTTGTATTAGGGTTCGAAGCATTGTCGCTCGTCCGAGTGTTTGGTGTGAACGCGCGGAAAGGCTTATTATCCATTGACGTCAATTCTTGCATCTCATAGGACTACTGTTAGAACAATTTAAAAACAGAAATAATTGAACGTCGCCTTTGTTTCAAACCTTGTAACAACCTCAATCGACCAATACCTCCTCTCTTGCATGTAACAACAATTCAAGGAACTTTTTTTATCGGCAGGCCCAGAGATCAGGGCCGCAGGCATTAGTCAAATTACCTTCACACCTCTGGCTACCCAGCAATGGTGAGATTATACACCCACACACCATTCTCGCCAACAGCACCACTCGAGGCTTGTGTGGACGGGGTAACAACCTGCAAGGGCTTTTAGTTTAGTAAGAATTTTACGGCGTTCGCAACTGCATAAGGTCATATTATGAGCAAGAGCCTTTTAATAAATATTACATTTGTTTTAACAAACCGCATCCTTTCCCTTTGGAGGCCCACTCAACCCTGATTCGATACAAAACTCCCAAGTTTGGTTACATCGGCTCTAACCTAACTAGGGAGTTTAGTATCGAATCAGTGTTCAGTGGAGGGGGTTTCTCTTCCGTTTCTCGGTTGAACAGGTTTCCGTCTTAGACAGTGTATTATATTGGAATTCACCTAGGGGGCGGGGGAGTGGGGGAATATTCAGTAATGACATATTTCGGTCCAGGACAGGTTTCCGTTAAGTTTCGTTCAGGCAGTTTCGACTATACACATATGAACAGGCATGTGTCCTTCTTCCATGTATATGTCTGTGTAAGTGTCAAAGAACATTGAAGAAAATCCTTTCGGGTGCAGCAGGTATAAGACGTGGAACATCTGGACCTCCAGGCATGTACCTTCTTCTACTCTGAACTACGCTGAAACCTCTGAAGTGAATGTACTTTTACCTCTCTCATTTTTAGTGGATTTACGCCCCCCTCCCCCCTCCGCCCCTCACACAAACACACACACACACTCACACGCACACACACACACACACACACACACACACACACACACACACACACACACACACTTTGGTTTTGTTTTGCTTGTTTTTTTAAACCACTCATTTTCCCAGCACACATTTTACAGCCTTCCTTCTGTTCTAGAAGTTTTCTTCTGAAGAAAAGTTGCAAGTAAAAATAGAGGTTCGTACTAAAAGGGTTGTTGTTTTTTTTCAATAAATAAATATGAGGTTGTCCTGTCAGTCCGACAGACTGCTTTTCTACCTAACCTATATTGTGCCCAGAAAAGTGTAATAGTTCTGAAAGAAAAGGGTAAAAGGAAAACTGTGGACTAACTCCCCAAAAATTGCCAATCAATGCCGTTATCAGGTTGCTGTAGGTTAGGGCAAGTCGATACATTTCCCCGAAGCAGATACAATAGTAGGAAGAATTGATAGAAGCGGATCACATTCGACTGTTGAACCCCCTCCCCCGGGCCCCCCTGACACAAGAAACATGCAGCAATAATGCATGTATTATAAAAGTGCGTCTGTAGTCTAGTGATTGGGCAAGCGAACACAGGATCGCGAGATTGCGGGTTTGGGGTTCGAACCCCAGGCCCGACGTTGTGTCCTTGGAAAAGGCATTTTACACGATTTGTCCTCACTTCACTCAGGTGGGAATGGGGACCTGGCCATATTCAGCGAAAGGTCTTGTCAGTATGTTAGCGGTTTAGCTCCTAAAGATGGCAGCTTGCACTGTAATCTTCCCAGGAAGTTGAGATTGTTTCAGAACGCTATCAGGTCTTCTGGGGTAATAATATAGATTGTAAAGCGCATGGAGCTAACTATTAAGTGGTAATTTGCGCTATACAAAAGCTATCTATTATTATTAAAATGCTCGGAGACTTACCAGTGCACCCCTGCTGTTGACAGACTGATTGCTGGATAAACGTTCCCAGTTGAGCATTTTGTTGAGTGTCATACCTGGAATATAAATATTACAATTCAACGTTTGCTGCTAAAGCTCAACCCCCACCTTATTCAATGGCCCTTTTGTCGACGTTTCCCCCCCCCCTCCCCACTAAATATAATATAGTAGGAAATTAGGTATTGCTCAAATTAGGGGTGGGTGGGGGCGGGGGCAGAGTTCAAGTAGTTCCAACTTTTTCCAAACCCTTCTGGAACCTAGCCTGTTAAGTCCCGAAGACCGATGTCTAGCGAGCTGCGGTTAGGCGTTTCGCTGTCTCGCGCACGAGTCCCGAGTTCGATTTCCGATGAGAAGGAAGGAAATTGTTATAGAGTATCTAAGTCATTCTGCTGGAATGTTATATCCTAAGCCTCCCAGCTCGAATTGGCCCTGACAGGTAGGGCGGGGGGGGGGGGGGGGCCCCCCTTAAACCTCATCCCATATGGGGGGTATGGGCGTAAAAACAGGTTAACACCTCACCCCCCCCCCCCCCCCCCCCCTCCCACACACACACACACACACACACACACACACACACACACACACACACACACACACACACACAAATCTTGAAGGGAGGCCAGTTATAATGTAAAGGGGAAGCCACTGGAAAGACACCACTGTGGCAATGGTTGGGTGTAGTAACCGCAGAGGGTTGAGAATATATTATTATTATTATTATTATTATTATTATTATTATTATTATTATTATTATTATTATCATTATTATTATTATTATTATTATTATTATTATTATTATTATTATCATTATTATTATTATTATTATTATCATTATTATTATTATTCTTATTATTATTAGTTTTATTATTATTATTTTAAGCGGACCTCCCGGGTGCCTTTAGCACAACAGCCAAGAGCTTAGGGCTGACATTACCATAATTGTGTATTGCTTTCGTCCGCCAATACAGTCGCGACTAATAGACTACAACGAGGGTGGTTGGCGGGTGCTATGGTGTGGTTTGCTCCTTCTTTGCTATCTATCAAATAATGTGTGTCGTCCTGATCTCTCCTTCTTTTTTATTTCTGTTTTTTTTGGGTTTTTTTTTTGCTTTTGTTTTGCTCTTGTAACACCTGTAATTATCGGTGGCCCTTAACTTTACTGCAAGTACCGTTCCACCAAAGAATCTTAGGTTTCACCTTACCTCGCGAGTTGAGCTGCGTCGTAGCTACAGGTGATGCCTGCACTGTACCAATCCACGTAGCTCACGACGTAACGGTAGCACAAGTTGCCATAGCGCGTGTAGCCCTCACGGCAGGCCAACACTCTTTCACCTGAAAGGACAGACATAATATTATATAACCATTCGCTGCACTAGAATTACAAAGTTCTATCTGCTGCTCAGTGCCTAGTTCTGATAAATTTGACGTAAAAAGTGTTGCGTTTCACACATGTCAAGCTTTTACGAAAGCAATTTTTTTGAATATCTTGATAACGACTCCGCAAAATGTTGTGACTTTGATAGAGCAGATCGAAAATTTGGTTTCTGACATCATGACCTTAATATTGCAACTCAAAATGGCCAACTTTGTATTTCTAAAGTAGCGCTTTGCCAATAAAGATTGTGTCATTCAGTTCGATTTCTGTGTACAAGAATAAGTCTCTCTTCTTTTTGCTAAAAGGCATATTATGGGAGGACTACTAGTTGTATCATTTACTATAATTTTTGTCCCAGCAAAATTTTTAAGTTAGCCAAAATATATATTGCTTAGAAGAAATTTTTCCACCTAGTAACGTTGCATTGTAACTGTATTGTTATTCAAATGTGGTTAAACTATATGGACTGGAGTCAGTTTACAATGTTTTACTTAGCGGTGTTTTATAAACCTACCCCCACCCCCACCCCCACAACAACAACAAAAATTCACAACAGTACGCAGTTTGAGAAAAGTGTATTACTCATTATTTCTGCTCTCATATTACTGAATATCTTACACAAGTAGGTATAACTGCATATCTTACACAAGTCAGTATTACTGAATATCTTACACAAGTAGGTATTACTGCATATCTTACACAAGTAAGTATTACTGAATATCTTTACATTCCCAGTATTCCTTATCTGCACTCAATACATCCACACATATTATTGCATATCTATTCACATGTTGATTATTAAACATCTCTTCATCTTCATGAGAGAAGAAATCAGTGGTACTTTAGTTGTAGTCGTTACCCTTTCTCTTACTCCTCTACCCAAAAGCAATTGTCATCTCTCTCACCTATTGTTATAATCGCCTCTCTCTCTCTCTCTCTCTCTCTCTCTCTCTCTCTCTCTCTCTCTCTCTCTCTCTCTCTCTCTCTCTCTCTCTCTCTCTCTCTCTCTCTCTCTCTCTCTCTCTCTCCGCCGGCTTCGGTGCGAAACGAAACTGATTTCCAAATGTTGACGTTAATTCAAGATTAGAAAAAGTAAATATGTAGGTAGAATTTTTAAATTTTTATTTTTATTTATTTATTTATGTATTTATTTATTTATTTTTTAATTTTTTAATTTATTTTTTTATTTTTTTATTTTATTTTTTATTTTTTATTTTTTATTTATTTTTTTTTTTTTTGGGGGGGGGGGTTCATTTTGGAGCTTGTTATGCTTCTAGTTGTTTACAGGTGCACTGCAAAAAAAATCTAAGAGGTTACCCACTTGACATTTCCAGAATCATCAGGCGCCATATAATACTTCAAGAAGGCCCCCTTTCTTGGTCTGTCGTCGCCTGGTATGACAAATTCGTTCTTTTTGTTCCCGTCATAGTTACCGCATAGGCCACACGTGTGGTTCTTGTAAACACTCGGGACTTTAACCTGACGGGGACAAAAGTACAAATTAATGAATCATCGTAGTAAAACGTACCCACAGACTAACACACACACACACACACACACACACACACACACACACACACACACACACACACTTGCGCGCGCGCACACACAACCAGTTCAGGGTGAGAAACAAGTTGATGTTACGTCTTGATAGCACTTTGTGCTCTAGATCCTTCATCCCACTAATGCATGTCAGAAAAATCTGCGTTATCATAAAAAGCAACCCAAACCTATTACTATATACATGGCGATGAAGCTCGTAATTTTCACACCATAAATACCATTTTACTATTCTTCACAAATGTTAGACGTTCTCTAGAGAGATAACATTATTATGGTATGGCATGGGGTTAATGTGTCTTCCAACGTTGACAATTAAGTTCTCTCATACAAGACAAAGGTTTGTTCCTTGCTTTGTCGTATCGAGTTTAGCTCGATATGTATGTCTATGTAAATGGTTGTTGTTGTTTGTTGTTTGTTTTTGTTGGGGGGGGGGGGGTTGTAAACGTTTTACGGCGCTCGCAATTGCATAAGGTCATATGAGCACGCAGGACACATCAAACATTTTCAATTGGTAAGAAATTTTGAATTTTGCCAGGGTGGTGGCCGAAGCCTACTCTTATCAATTTTGGACCTTGGGATCTTTAGCGTGCGCAACTTGCACACTGGACCTCCGAGATTTTTCGACCTTGTCCGAGAAGGCTAGGAGTAGATCTTCCTGGTTATGACAGAGTGTCAAGCGAAGAAATATTTGAGTGGGTATTCTTGGACAGTTTTTTTTTTTTCGATTTTGGTTGATGAAATATGGTGGCTGCGGCTGCGTTGGGCAGTTGACCGTTTTAAACAGTGAAATTATATAGAAAAAAAAACCGCAAGGGGAGAAATGGAAAGTGGCCGTCAGTACCAATGGCCGTGTTGTACAGGGGGGAGGGGACATCCATCATAGCAGGTTTGAATATACGCTGATTCTACTGTAGGCATTGTATGAGAGCCACGAAATTTTCCCAACAACCAACGATGGGACTCGACTAGGGTCGTGATTAAATCCAGCATCATTCCATCTTGGATATAGATCTAGATGCGTCCTTTGCCAGAGAGAGAAACAAAATGAAAAACACTTACATAAAGATTCATCCGATTGTCCCAAGAGATCTGAAGACAGAAGTCCGTGTCAATCGTCAGTTTGGGCGTTCTGCCCTTATTCTCTGTAGTTATCTTGATATTTCCATCTTTGAAGTCGAGTGAGTTTCTTTTCATACCCTGTGAAGAAAAGTACATGTAAAGGAATACTTTTTGGTCACTGTTATTGTATTTGCTGCTGCTGTCGTTGTTGTTGTTTCTGTTGCTGCTATTGTTTCTGTTGTTGTTGTTGCTGTTGCTGTTATTGTTATTGTTGTTGTTGATGACGTTGATGTTGTTGGTGATGAACATTATGCTTTCTTCCCGGAAAGGCTTTCGTGGTCTAGAGGTGCGGTGTTCGCCTCTCATTCAATAGGTCCTCGTTTCAAAAACGGATAGCGACATTTTAAACATACTATATCAATAAATTGTGTAAACCCAACTTGTACATTTGACGTATCTACCTATGTTCATAGGGCTCGAATCCGAGAAGTAACTCATTTTATCAGTACACCTCACAAATAAATATATATATATATATATATATATATATATATATATATACGTGTGTGTGTGTATATATATGGTCGCTTTTAAGGACAAGTGGGCTAACCCAGATTTCGGGGGTTTCCAGAAATCTTGATCTCCACGAAAATGTGGGTTTTGTCCTACCTATAGGAGAAGTTTTATTTCAATGGAGTGTATATTTGTTTGGTTGTAGAGAAATCTCTCCTTGTCTTTAAAGAAACAGAACAAGGGTCCAAAATCTTTACCTGCGATTTCTCAAAACAGTATTTTTCGGGATGGCGCCATTGTGCTTGAAAGTGACCATACATCATTTTTAACTCTCCCCTTCTTTTCTTTGTATGTTACCCACTAGTACCAACTCTATTCCCCGGCCTTTGTATGATATAATTGTGTTGCGAATGCCATAAGACTCATACTAAAACTTATTTTAAAAACTCCAGCTAAGCCAACCACTCACGTTGACTTTAAACGTTCCTCTCCTGAATGTGTATCTGATTCCTCTCACAGACAGCTCAAAGCCTCTGGTGAACGACACTTGATCACTGGGCCTCCTTCGGTCGTTCGAAGATATAATCCTGAGAAGAAAAAAAAAAGATTGCACGCATTAACTCGTATAATGGGTAAATGCAAAAATATAAGGATAGGCATGCGATGTCATTAAGTCATAATCGGAGGAGGAAAGACTGTTTTTGTCGCTGAAAATTTATTTTTAAGTTATGCGACTCTCGGACACAAATTCCACTTTGGCAAAGGTGCTAAGAATGAAGTAAATGTAATTTATTTTTGTTGTTGTAGCTGTTTGGTTTGATTGTTTATTTGTTTTGCTTATTATGTCTTTACTTTTAAAAAATTAAAAAATTAATGTTCTTTGATGGATATTGTATGAGGAAAAGTTAATATAGCATTATCTCTCTTTGGTGCGCAAACTCTATGAATGCGTTAAAGTTTACGGTTCAAATAACATGTGTATTCTTGGGAGTTTTCTAGTTCTCCGCAGAATGCTCATTGTGAATGTTCTCTCAGTTTTCCGTCTCATTAGCTGATCAAGGGTTTCACCTTCGAACATACAGCACAAATTGTGTTCTTTAGAATGTTACACAAGGGTAAAATCTTTTTCTTAAGTCTATAATCTATTTCTAAATCTTTAAGATAACCCAGGACAGCCTACCTGAACGTTGGGAAACGGTCGCTTTTAGTGAAGGAGTTGCAGATTTGCACCAATGTGTAGCTGCATTTGCCTTGGAAGTCGTATTTCAAGCTGTCCAGAGTAATGTAATGTGGGTCGCCTCGAGCTGCGCACTGGTGCATGTCTGGAGGACGTAGGAATGACAATTAGAACAAATGAATACAGTTGTGCACCTTATGCAACTTACCGAGCTCGAAGATAATTACCAATGTATTGTCGACCACGACGATGACGACAGCAACAGCAGCAGAAGCAGCAAAAAAAAAACAACAACAACAACAACAACAACAACAACAACAACCGGGTAGACAGATTTGTTCAGATACTGTTAAGAAGTCGATATTTCGCTACATTAGAAGTACAAAGTGCTATCTATTCGGTTTTGTTTTGGGGGTTTTTTGGAGAAATTTGACGTCAAACATTTTGAGTTTCACAACAGGTCAAGCTTTTGCGAATGCAATTCTTTAATTATCTTAATTAATAAAGACCCCGGATAATCATGTGATTTTGATAGAGTAGATAGAACATTAATTGGTTTCTGGTCTCAACACGGCCAAAAAAGGTCAGATAGATAGACGTTTGTAATTCTGAGGTAACGATTTGTAAAGAGAATAGTAGCCTACCATACTTGACGCCGTCCTGAGTACATGTACCAGTACCAATGACCTCCTTGCCCGTCTTCACTGGCCGTACAGCCACACACTGCGGCCCGTACACTTTGTCCTGGCACTTTCGGTTCTGTTTCTCACAATGGCTCTTGACCATTGGGTTGAAGCACTTGATTTCATCTGGAACACAAGGATATTTCTACCTTTTAAGAGGGTAAGTGTGTGTGTGTGTGTGTGTGTGTGTGTGTGTGTGTGTGTGTGTTGTGTGT